ATGCAGTTTATTTCCTGTGAATAACATTGAGCGAGATTTATAAAGAGCACCTGGTATTTTTGTATATATTGAGACATAGCCATTGCAGTATATACAATATGCTTGATATTGCCAAGTTATAACGACGTTTTCATAGAATTCTATCTCTATGAAGGATTATTGTATTGTGGGTTTACTATTCTCTTAGACTATTGTAAAATATTTTTAGCAGGCATTTTATGTTTTGAAAAGTCTCTTCATTTCCATCCCAAGGTAATCTCCCAGTCACAGATTCATAACCTTTCTTATGGTACCAAAGCAAAACCTATTAACAAAAGCTTTTGTTCCGCACACAGATACAGGTGCCTCACATATATCAATTAGGACATATTGTCTGCAAGACAAAGAATGAGACGCTTTAAATAAAATTACACTATTTTCATCAATCAATACACATTTTCTTCAGGTTCTTTGAACAATGTTGTGACTGCATGTGAATGACTTGTTTTGAAAACAGTTGACTTATTTTGAAAACAGTTTTCCCACATTAGTATGTGATTGTTACAATTAAAAAACTTCAATTTTCAAGAGCTGTAGCATAATATTAGAATTTAAATCTTACTACGTTTTTGTATTCGGAATATTTCACATCTTGTTACAGCAACCTAAGTGAAATAATAAAATGCTTCCCCTTTTCTGAATTGTTCTGTCAGGTGTCTTTTTAGAACACACATTTCTTGATTGAAATGTCATCCACAGCAGAAGTTGTCTTTTGCTTGCAATCCTCAAGCGAAAAGTGTAAAGTCTCTAAGTTTTAGTTTGCAAATCCCAGCAAATTGTCTTAATTCACACTTCAATTAACCATTTTATTTCATTGATCTGCCTTGACAGGTTTCTTCCTTATTATTCTGCCAGAAATGTTTGTATGGATGGATTTTATCGATCAGCTATCCTGTGAGAAGCAGGAGAGGATACGGCCATTGAGAAAAGCTCAGTGAAGCCTGTAGGGATTTGCTAATTTATTGATGTGGATCTGCCACGTTTCAGGTTCTAGGGCAATTCCGGTCCTTGCAGATCACTCCTGTTATCTGGTTTTCCTTCTGCTTCTGCCCTCAGTTGCTTAACTGAACGAAATATTTGGAAAATAAGACTAATAACCTGTTTGTTTTAGACCCTAAAAAAATGGTAATATGATTTTTTCTAATACCTGTGAAATGATGCCCAGAAAGATACCCACCCCTACTCCATGGCAAAGAGATGGCAGTGAAAGTTACAGAAACAGACAAGGGTGGTAGTCACACAACTAGCTTATTCTGAGGCTTAGGTTTATACAACAGACAACAGTTTCTTCTGACTCAAATGCCAGAGATCTTCATTCTGACAATAAAGGATCACTTGCCAGCAGGGTTTTCTCTTAAAAAATTCATCACCATCTAGCCTTTCTGTGGTGAAGGAGTTAAAAACTCCCTTAAGTTTACTGGTGTACCTCTTGTTCTTAGGTCTGGTTAGAGATTTCTCGTGATCTAGGATCAGGAAATAGAAACTTTGGCTCTCTGATAAAATGCCTTTATGGAGTTTGCTGCATCTTGGCTCCTAGGTCCTTGGACTTATTGAAACATTAATGGAACTGCTTGCTTTCAAATCTGAAAAGGTTGGACAGGATTAGAGATCATCATTAATCCTGTACCTTGTGCTTGGTATCAGAACTACTTCCGTTTTATATAATATATGAAGTCTTGATAAGGTGTTTTAATTTTAATTGAATTTCTGTAGAGGGTTAAAAAACTTGAAAGACAGCTTGGGGGAGTTCTTTATTCTATGGCCGACAAGAAGGGTCACTGTTGCTTCTAGCTAAGCCCTGCTGAGTGTCTGATAACTGAACATCTTGCAAAGAGGCTGCTCATGGTATTCGATCAGAAGAGCTGATATTCATATTCAGCTTGTAATCTGTCCCTGCCTTCTTGGACTTGTCTTTACCTCAGTGATGACCCTGCCTGTGTTTAAAGGGCTTAGAAGTAAAGGGAGGGTTTGAGTCGTTGTAATATGGCAGATCGTTTAATTACATTGAAAAATGATTCTAATGTAGTTCTTCTATCATGATGATGATAAAATTATGTGCACGGGGGTAAATATTTTGTTTTTTTAACATGTCA